TAATTGTTCAGTTGTATTAATATTTCATTAATCAGCTTGTTTCCCAATTTTTATTATTATTTCTTGAATTTGGAGCATCCAAGAAATACTAACTAAATTACTAAATTAACAGAACTTTAATTATCTCATTACAGTACATTGATTGTTAGTTCATTTTAGAATGAAAAAAATCAGTTTTTTTCAGAATTACTGTAATTGTCATTTGTTTGAATTGTACCAGTCAATATAGGCCTAATAACATTTTAAAATTGAGAGTTAATAACGGACAAATCAATACGATTTTGGGGTAAAGAATGAAAAAAAGTCGCCGACCATATTACCGAGCCAGAATAGAGAATTTTTTGCCGACCTAGGCCTAGATTTCTTTGCTTCAAAAACTGCTTGGAAAGTCAAAAACTTTTACTGAAACAGGCTATAGCAGACACTAAATTTCAGGTACGTCGTCAAACCAAGGAAATTGGTGGTTCATAAAACAGGTTTGTTTGTACAATAACTATTTGTAATAGGCATGCAGTATGTACGATTTGTTTACAATCGTCTTGTCTTTCTCGCCTAGTCGTTTCGTAGGCTAGGCCTAGGTTGCGATGACACTAGCCAGCCAAGGCCTACAACATCGCACAATTGAAGCCACGTGGGCCGCGTAGATCGTAATGCTTATCTAAATCTATTATTTGTCTTCATTTTACAGTATTATCATCATATTTAATAAAGTTGTTTATTATCTAAAAACAACAAAATTATCCTACCGTCCGTTTAAACGCAACCACGATCGCATTGTTACTTCAATACTGACAAGTACTGTACATGAGTGGAAAATCCCTGATAGATCATTCTGGGCATGCGCATGGACATGCATGGGCAGTTTTGAAGCAGCCTGTGATGATACGATCGTAGCTTTTACGAAAGTGATATTTCCCATGCCAAAGATAACGATAAAACAAATGCTAAAACAAAATTTATTCGGTGATTTTCTTATGTAAAACATAGGCCTATGTATTATACTACATCATTAAATTAATACAAGTACGATTATTCTTTCCCCAGCAATATATTGATAGAATAGAGAAATTTAAAAAATCACAATCTGTAGATGACGATGTAAGGTCGAGCGTTCGGAAAAATATATAGGCCTAGGTAGTAAAAAATTGCAAAGGCTGCAGACCTCAGAGAATTTAAGGTCGGCAAATTTTTGCTGACCTAATTTTTTCCCAATTTCATGGGCTGGTGTCAACAGCAAACAATCAAAAGTTGAAAAAATTGGTAGTGTTTGGAAGATCATTGATATAAATTAAAAACAGACAAGGGACCCTTAGGGGCAAAGAAAGTCATTGATCGAATTCCTAGTCCACATATCAAGCACCCTGATCATCTTACATTAGATGGATGTGCGCTATATAAAACTACACTATTATTATTATTATTATTATTATTATTATTATGAAAACGGAGGCCAGGGATTGAGCCGTGAGGCACACAACAAGTTATAGGTAAATCATCAGAAGTAAAAGAACAAGAACAAGATGAAACAAATTGGTTTTTGATTACCAAGATAATCAGATCCATAAAAATGTATTTCCTTTAAACACCATAAAGTTTATTGCAAAATTTTTCATTAACTTAATACTGGAAGAATTTAAATGGGTCTATACTTTTTCATTTGCACCTTAAAGGAATACAGTAACTTGCAGTTTTAAATGCTGTACGAAACATAGACAAGTTAAATGAAAGATTGAAAATGTATGCTAACGGCATAGATATATAAAGTGCATTTATGGAGATGAAATTGTTTGATGAAATGGAATGCTATTGAAACCAGTGACTTTTTTAATGAAATAATTTTCAGAACTTAGGTAAAAAAGAATTAAAACAAGGTTTACCCTAAAAACAGGAATAATTTGATATAAAGTTAATTAAATCATCTCCTTACAAAAATATATTTGTTGTATATTTTTCCCCGTTGGTCGAGTCAACGTTTAAAATTTTTTTTTCTTTACAAAATTTTTTTATTTTTTATTTCCAAAAGCAAAAGATGTCCTGTGGTCAAGGACACACAAAAACACATAACAAAGGACATTAAAAAACCCCCCAAAAAAACTATTGTTCGAAAAAAATTACTTAATAAAAGAAAAAAAGAAAGAAAAAGGAAACCTTCAGAGACATTACCACAACCCACGACATTACCACAACCCACGACAACCAACCCATGACCCAGTGCAAGCCTCCCTCTCACCGCCCCACTCCACCAACTCAAAAAACCCAATCATCATGGTTGTACACCTGTCTCCATAAAAACGGAGGACACATCGGTTTTTTTTTTTTACCTTTAACCGGTTATTTTTTTTACCTTTAACCTAACTGAACTGAACAACCATCATTATTTGACCTAAACATGAACAATCCCATAAATTTACAACCTTCTTTTAAACCTAAATTTTACAATTCCTTTTAATTTCTTTTTTGTTGTTGTTGATAATACAAATAAATAAACCCCTGGGCAATAAAAGATAAAATAAACCATTTTACTTCATTTAACAGTGAACGTTTTAAATTTATCCTTCACAATAAAGGAAAAAAATCAACAAATTAGATATGTGTAATTAATATTTGATGTTAAATTAGGACCAATATTGATAAATTATTAATTAAATTCATTACCAATAGATAAATTATTAGAAAAATCATATGTAGAAAGATTTTTTTTTTCAGATAAATTGTTAGTAGTGAATTTATAGTCCCAGTAATGTATTAATTGTCTGCCAGGTTTTAAAAGAATTTTACTATTTAAAAAAAAATAAATCTTGATAATTGCTGTTTGTGCCTTTAATTATAGTTGAAGTATTTCTGTATTTTTTAAAATATATAATTGACACTCGCTATGACAGAGATAGATAACTATATGTTAAAGAGTGTGAAAAAGAGCACCATTCTGTTGTTGATGAGAACAGAATTAAAACAAAGCAAAAAGAGATGCAAGTGGAAACAAAAAACATTTATGGAGGAATTAAATCGTGGGGAACTTTTGAATGTGTTGTGGAGCTCTTTAATTGCGCGGGGTATTTTTTAATTTGTTGCAAAGTTCTTTAATTGTGCAAGGCATGTTTGAATTTGTTGTAGAGTTCTTTAATTGTGCGCGGGGAACTTTTGAATTTGATGTTAGACTTCTTTAATTGTGCAATTAAAAAGATTAAAAAAGTAACAAGTTTTATAAACAAAACTAATTATAAAATTTAAAATTATATATGTGATAAGTAGAATTAAGTAAATGGGTCTGAAACACATTTAATAAATTTTCTTTAACTGCTGCTATAAAATGATTTCTGCAAGTAATATTTCTAAGGATTAAATAAAATTTTTGTTGACCTAAATTAATACAAGGTTTGGACAAGACAAAGTTACCATAAAATCTTGAATTAAAGCCCTGGGCTTCTTTTGTTTGTGAACTTTTGTGAAAATTGGCTCCTTTCGAGGATGGGCTTCTTTTCGAGGCTAATTTTGCAAAGTAAAGAGGGGCTTTAAATCGAGATGGGCTCCATCGCGAGAGTAAGGCCATTGGGCTTCAATTAACGGTATTGTCAAATCTAGTATTATATGGGTGATTGATATTTTGAAAGTAAGCGCTAATATAATGGGGTCTTCTACTGTGATAAATATAAAGAATAAATTTAAGAACATATAATTCATGTAATTTATAATTAATAGTTGCTTTTTGCACCTCTAATGAGAAGAGGTCCAATCACAATTCAAAAAACTGCCCCGCCCCCCCCCCACCCCATAAAAAAAGGGAAAAAAGAGAGAGAGAGAGAGAAGGGAGAGAGGGGGGGGGGGGGGGGGTGAGAGAGAAGAAAGAAAAAAGCTCATATCTAGGCCTATTTATTACTACAATTGGTGATGGTTTTTGTTGATTACGCTGGCGCGCATCAACAAGGCTTGTGGTGAACATGTGGTCACAAAATGATAGAATAAAAGTACAATCTTTTGGTATAGTTACCGTACATCGGTGTTTGCGAATTTTATTTATGAGTATATAATAAATTAATGCCAACATAATATCTAACATAATAATATATCGCACCTACAACAGTCATTAGAGTCATTCGGCAGAAAATGTGTTTACGAATTATCAAATATACTTTTCACGACTCCATCAATAGCAACACAATCTAATTCTTTAGATTAGAATGCCGTGTACGACTGTCTTAGTGTTCGTTTGTTTTTTCAAATTTCCTAATATTGGGAGGGGGACACCCTCCCCCTAAATTTCATCCTAGATCCGCCCGTCTGAACACATCAAATTATCGAGGCTTCTGCAAGAATACAGCCTATTGACTACAGTACATCCGCCGTCATTTCACATGGATCACTCTGGCATTGCAATCAGTGGTGGCCCCCTAAGATGTCTGACTGGGGCGGGGGCGCTTAGTATTTATGGGATGTAACCCTCCTCCCAAAACAAGATTATTTTTTTTAATTGGGACTTCTAGATGGCCGGAAATGGCTGGGATGGGAAAACTAGGCCTGTTTTTTGCTTTCTTTTGGTCTGACTGCCCGACGAGCTTTGGCCGATTTTTTGGGGGGGGGGCCCCGCTTGGGGGCTTAAGCCCCCTTGCCCCGAAACGAAGCGCGACCGAAATGATAGTATTCCCCTGTCGCCGCCACTGATTGCAATGCCCACACAGGTTGTGCATCATATTTAAAATCAAGTTAAAATGGCCGCAAGAACGCTGAAGCATGTACTATAAATATAAGAAAATATTTATTTGTCTAACACGCTTTTGCAAATTACGGTACTTTCCGTTAGTGCGTACAAATATATAAAAATGCATAATCACATCAAGAATCATTTTTGAAACAAGCCAGCGTCCGTCCGCGTCTGTTTCCGCCATGCCATGCACACCTTCAACAAAGAAGCTTAGAAGCTAATTGTTTGGTCACGGAACATCTCAAAAAATTACAAGCTACAATTGCTATTAACTTTAACACATAACAATGCATAGGCCTACCTTAGTGGTTTTGTTGATACTTATCACAAATATGCACTATAATCATAAAACAATGGCGTCTTTTTGCTAAAATACAGCTTCTCCACCATATCTATCACGCGATTCTCTGGAATTTCAAAATTTACATCTGCGTGCTCAGGTGAGTGCGTCCAAGATATTTGGTGAAAATGGCCATAAGAACAACTTTAATTATTGGAATTAATATTATTTGTCCAAGGGTATAAATAGAGATTATTTATTATTTGAAGTTCCAAAGGCGTGTACAAATATACACAAGTGCATACAAAACACATCGAAATTATATGAAAACATTTAAAAAAAAAACATATTGATTGGAAACATAAGTAAAAGATATTGAATAAAACATTTAAGTGAAAAACTAACACTATGAAAAAAAAAATATTGTCCTTTTATGTTAGTAGAATCCCTATTGAAGTCAGACTCTGGAGGAAAAAAATTTTCTATATGCTAAACAATTTTTATTTCTAAGACACAAACAGCATTTTGATGCAAAACTTGTAAGTGGTTAATGAAATACAGATTACAGAAAGGTTCCCCGGTTTTTTAAATAAAATTTTTCAGTCAAATATGCATTTTTGTCTTAGAAAACATATCAAAATATTTTTCCTTTGGAGCCCGTGAATTAAGGGGACAGCTTTCGGGACCAATTTTCCAATAATAGAGGTGTTACCCTATTTAGTATACCCAAATTTTGGAGAAACTAACAATAATCATGTTGTCCTAAGGTAGATTCACACCGAATCCGAATTTTTCAAACGAGAGGGGGTGGGGGAAGGGCACAGCAGTTTCAGAATAAATAAGTAGGCGCACATAAAATGTATGCATTTAAATTTTTAAAATATAGTGGAAAAAGGGGAAGGGGACGTTCCACAGTGCATCCCTACTGGATCCGCTCCTGGTGGTATGGCTAATAGATTCGGATCGGGTGTAAATGCAGCTTTAATAGGGTCCATTTGTCGCAAGCCGTCATACGACATTGTAGGCTATATGGGTGCAGTTCAGTCGAAAGCTTCCTGAATGTTTGGCAGTTGCGTTGCGATATTCTTTTTCCTATGGTTTCTGGGGTGCGTTTGAGGATTGGAGTGGGTGGTTTGTCTGAACATTATACATAAAACATTTCTATTGGTAGGTAGTATCCAACCTGCAGTGCAAGCTTTTTTTTTTTATCCCTACATACTCTCCAGTGCCAAATGCATCCTTCAAAACACGGCCTATTATAATTCAGGGGCGGATCCAGAGATGTCCAAAAGGGGAGGGGGGGCTAAATTTGGGCCGATCGAGGCAACAATGTCAATTTTTGTGTTCTAGACGCCCGAAAATAACATTTGAGGCGTTGTGGGCTATCCTTTTTTCTTTCTCCTTCTTCTCTTCTTTTTTTTTCTCTCTTTTTTTTACCTCCCAAAAAAAGGGGGGGGGGTCGGCTCCCCCTAAATCCGCCCCTGTAATTTATTTCATCTCCTACTTTTTTACTCAGCATACTCCTTCAGCCAGGAAACATCACTGAGGCAGATCTACTTCACGACGTGTCCCAAACAATGACACAGCTGGCAACATAAAGAGGCTGATATTAGCTGTAAAGAGGTTAGGTCCGTACGGGTGGGCGCGAATTTGTAGAAAGTGGACCAAAATGTGGGGGAACTAAGAGCATAACACTCCCCCACCCCCGAGGTCGAGTGGGCGGCGCCCCCTTGCGCTCAGACGTTCTTGATATTTTGAGTTCTTAATAGATTTTGAAAAATGCAATATGAACACGTACCTGGGCGCCAGGTTTGGGGGGGGGGAGACGCTGAAATGGGAAAATGAGAGTAGGAAAAATAAGCAATCCTTAGAAAAACATGACGAAATTGATGTATGTCGGCAGGCATGAATATTATTCTGAATCTAGTTGTTTTTATTTTTTAATTATAGATTGTGATTTCTTTTTAAAAGCACGCAAAATTCAGTTGCGAGTTTAAACTATGTTACAAATTCAGCACCTACAAGACTCTACTATGAGATAAATTTAGATAATAAGGATACTAAGCTGTATGCGATAAATACAACAGCCTTACAAATTAGGATAATGGTAAAGTTGTATACAAAGTTCCGAATATCGTAATGCAGTTTCAGTAGTAAGAAACAAGGGTAGCGCGACCGGCATATTAGTTGACCCTAAAATCGATTAAATAAGCCTATGAAACCCATAAAGTGTCAACAATTTTCGGGGGGGGGGGGATTCTTCAACACCCCCACCACCAGACCATTTTCGGAACATTTTTCTTAATTTCCTGCCGATTCTAAGCTGAAATTGTTCTTATTTTTACATCATTTTCAAACATACAAAAGCTACTTACAGTATATTGATTCAGTCTATACTTCTTCTTGTACTTCTTGTAAGACCGTTCTTTAAATCGAACCGTGGATCGATATCCAACTAATCCATTGAGACTTTTGTTGGGAATTCAAATATATGATATTTTAATCAAATTGTGATAGAAAAAGTGTTCAAATGAAAGAACAATAATGTAAATATCTTTTTATAAAATCTATATTTCTAAGTCACTATTACATATCTGATAAGCTTTTCACCAAGTATCAAAATGTAAATGCTGTGATCAGTAACAATTTTCGGCGGTTCCATCAGTTGTTTCATCCTCTGGCAGTCTCGTTTTTTTTTTTGTTCTCTTAACAGGAAACTTATGCTAAATTTACCAGTTTTGATTATTTTAATTTCATGTCGTCCTTCTCACTTTTGTTTTTATAGGACTTAATGGACTTAATTGGACTAAATTATATAAATTTATACTACATTGTACTCTTCTGATACAACCTAGTTATAACATCTACATAACTTACTAATAGAAATTTAAATAAAATAGTTAAGAAAGGCGGTAAAATAACAGGAATTATATGTAAAACCTTCGAAAAATGATTGAAGCTCCCTTGTTAAATACAATGTATAATATAATCAATGATAATAACCACCTGACGTGTTATCGTACCGAATACTCAATACGTCAAGCCAAAAAATTGCAAGTGATTCGGGTGGGAATCGAACCCACGACCTCCAGGTATCTAGTCTGAAGTTTTAACCACCAGACCACCGAGCTTGCGCTTGGTGACTAAAGATGAATACCTTTCCCAATAGTCCTAATAGGATATGAATTTGCGTCAGGAAAATATCATAGGAGTGACGTCTTTCCCAACCTGATGTGTTATCGTACCACCAGCTTCACAATTACATCAGTTTTAGCAGATCTGATAGAATTATTATTTCACTCACACCAACAAATAGACAAAAGACTAATTCCTAGTGCAATTAAGATGCTTAACGATAGCTTTGTTAGATAACATTTTGCTCTATTTACTTCATATTTTTAGTGCGTGTCATTCTGTGCAATCTTATATTTATTAATATCTTTGTGCAATTTTTATCTTTTATCCATTGTACAGAGAAGGCAAATTTTATTTATTGTATTGATTTCTGTATATGACCAATAAAATTAACATTCATAACTTTATCGAATGTTATAAAATCATTTTGTGTATTATAGGAAATGTCTTTATCTAGCTAAAGCCCTGTGCGGCCTATCAAACTATGAAATTATACGCTCACATATATACTGTCTCTTATACACA